ACTTTTAGCTGTTGTAGATATGCCTCTGCGTCATCCCACAGCTCAATTATTGTTATATAAATCTGTTTGTTTTTATAGGTCGGTCCAAGAAAGGAAAAGATTTATTAATTTTCATATAAATTAATGACTTCTAATCTAAAACTGCTAGAGTTGAAATTAAAATGAAACAAAAACTTTTTTATTATCCGCCCACCAGAGCTTGAAGATACCTAGGCAGCATAACAAGTGATGGGGATGCCTATCTTGCGCGACGAATAGGAAAGGCAGGGAGCATTTTCCAAAGGCTGCTACCTATTTAGACTAGCCAAGCCATTGGACTTGAGACGAAAATGCACCTTCTCAACACAATCGTCATCCCAACAGCATCATATGCATGTGAGACATGGAAGTCATATTCCAAAATTGAGAAAAGACTAAATGTAACTCAACAAAAAATGGCTTAGACGGATTTGAGAAATCAGTTATAGATCTCGGGTTTGAAACAAGGAAATCCCATACCGAACTGGGAGTCGACCTCTTAATGAGGTTTTGACAGAGCGTCGTATGAGGTTTGCAGGACATGTTCTCCGACGAAATGAATTACGCACACCAAGAGTTGCGTTAAAAAAAAGAGGCCAATACGAGGAAAGCGCAATCAGGGACGTCCTCGTATAACTTTGCGCCACACTTTTATGGAGCACCTCAGAGCAGTGGACACCAGGTGGGAAGAGGCAGCAGACATTGCTAGTGACAGAGCTTTGTGGAGACAGCTTGCCGCCCAATGTGCCGAACAGCGCGGGAAAATCTAAGTCTAAGTAAATCAGAATTTATTGCAGTTAAAAGAAGACATAGCTAGTAGGAAAGTGTATAGTCATCCCTCTCCATTTCCATTACCCCCAGGCAACAGCGACCCCTTCAATAAGTTGCTTTGCTGGACTTTTAAAAATGTATTTGAAGGTCGGCCATTGTAGGTAAAAGAAACTCGTGACACTATCGCCTTATCGTGCGGCGCCCAATATATTGCACTACGATCGAAAAACATGTTATCTGAAGTTGTTCCTGGTTAGGCCCAGATCCATGGCAATTCATAGATGAAAAGATATAAATAAACACAGTAATATTCCCACAGATAAACTTTAGCCTTTTTTTGTGATGAAATATATATATATATATATATATATATATATATATATATATATATATATATATATATATATATATATATATATATATATGTATGTATGTGTGTATGTTATTGTGTATGTATATATGCAGTAGACAGGAGAAGAATATGCCAAACAGAGTAGGTGCGAGCACACATCCCTGCTTGACACCACTGCAAACCTCAAACGGTGCTGATTGGGCTCCATTGAATTTGACAGTACATTTAGTTTCCTCGTGAAAACACTCAATGAATTTCAGTAGTTTGGGAGGGCAACCTATTTTCCTCAGGAGTTTGAAAAGGCCACTTCTGCTGACCATGTCAAAAGCTTTATTCAGATCAACAAAAACGATATAAAGGGGTCTGTCTCTCTCTCTGAATTTCTCCTGCAGTAGTCGTAGAGAAGATATCCTGTCTATAGTGGATCTACCACTCCTGAATCCACACTGAGACTCTGGGTAGACTCTAGAAACTAACACTTGCAGCCTGGGTAGTGCCACTCTAGCGAAGATCTTGCCCACTATACTGAGGAGAGAGATACCCCTGTAATTGTTGCAGTCACTCCGATCCCCTTTGTTCTTGTATATTCTGACTATAGTTGCGTCACGCATGTCCTGTGGGACATGACCTGTTTCCCAATAGCGGCAGAGGAGAATATAGAGTTCAGGGAGCAGGAGTGATTCGTTGACTTTCACTACTTCCACTGGGATACCATCACTCCCAGGAGATTTTCTATTTTTTATGCCGTTAATTGCTTTTTTGAGGTCACTAAGGCTCGGAAGCTCATCTAGGCATTCCAGTACTGGAAGATCTGGTAGAGAAGCCAGGGCGACATCGTCTACTGTATTCTGTGTGGCATAGACTTCGAGGTAGTGTTCTGTCCATCGTTCTAGCTGCTTGGTTTGATCTGTAATTTTTTCTCCTAATTTGGATAGAAGCGGGGCAGGCTTAGACACTGTTGGACCCAGGGCCGCTTTAATGCCATCAAATAGAGCTTTGCTGTTTCCTGAGTGGAGACTGTCTTGGATTCTGTTGCAGGTATCCCTCCAAAAGTTGTTAGGACATTTTCTAGCCATTTGTTTCGCCTCTTTATTAGCACTTTTGAAGGCCTCCAAAGACTTGGACTTGGCTTTGTCTTGTGAGCGTACAACGACATAAACCAAGGTGTGTTTCTCCATACAAGATCCTCTGGAAAACTATTTAATGTATCAAGGCTGCGGGCAAAAACCAAGGTTAGGAAGCTACTCGTCAGGGAACTCCTGTATGCTGATGATGCAGCTATTGTGGCTGATTCTGATATTCAGTTACAGTCCCTGATTGACGAACTATCTGCTGCTTGCCAGAAGTTCGGCTTAAACATCAGTCAAACCAAGACCTAGATACTTGTCCAAAACACAAAACACTGCACCTCAAGTAAGCCTTAATGGCCAACCACTAGAAATTGTTGATCACTTTTGTTACCTTGGCTTCATCATATCCAACAACACTCTACTGGATAAAGACATCAACAACAGGATAGCCAAGGCAATGGCCACCATGTCACGGCTGCAGAAAAGAGTCTGGGACAACATATTGCTGACTAACAGTACTAAAGCCCTAGTCTACCGGACCTGTGTGTTGAGCACCTTGCTGTACGGAAGTGAAACATGGTCAACCTACTCATGGCAGGAAAAAAAGCTGAATGTTTTCCACCTCCGATGCCTAAGGGGGATCTTTAAAATAAGGTGGTAAGATAAGATAACCAATGAGGAAGTGCTACAAAGAGCAGGGTGCCAGGACATGAGTTTTATTATCTGATACCTGCCACGTAGTTATTCTTGGTTGTTTGTGTGGGAATAAGGTGTTAGCAACAGTGAGTTTATAGCTGCTGGCAAACTCGAGGAACCTCGTTACTCACCGAGACTATCGTTAGTTTCTACTAATCTAAAACGTCTAGTGGTTTCTCCATGGCCGGCCTTCGAAGTGAATTTGGAGACCCCAATGATTTTTTTTTATTTAAAAAGAAACAGCAAAAAAAAACAACAAAAAAACAAACAAACTACGCAATTTATTAAAAACCCTTCCCGTCTATATCTAAATCATATATAGGCCTATTGCAATTACAGTAGAAGAGACAGAGGTGGACTAGCTACATAGTGCTATATTGCTCTACTATTATTAAGATCTGATCCAAGTTTCGCAATTATTTTATTTTAGTTCTATGCGAGACACCCACCAGTTGGAGGCACTAGGCTTTTGCCTAGTTTGCCTATGCCTAAGGCTGGCCCTGATGATGCGGCTTGATGCCCATTGCTCAAATGAATTCCTATCCTGACATTCAAGTTTCAAATAATAATAATAGTCTATAGTCTAAAATACCTGTATAGTTAATTCATTTGTAGCTAATAATGATTCTCATACTAGAGGTATTCAGATGTACATGGCAGTTAATTCAGAGCTATATTGCAGTTCATCAAAGGAAATGGAGAAATTCATGTTTACCAAATTTGATCATAGGTTGGGGAAAAGTAAATAAGGTTGGTCATTGTTCTGGCAACATGATTATTAATAATTATTTTTAGCAATTTTATTTTAGTATTTTTATTCAGTAAAAATCATCATCGCCATATTCCACTCTTTTTAAAGTTATCATTTTGTAAGCATCGTTTGCTGTTGAATACAAATTCACAAACAATATTGATTTATGATAAAATATGCAAATTTAATTCTAGCAATGGTACTGATATGTTATAGTAAGTTCCTAGGTCTCATATATAAAATCGCATCACGAACGAAGAGATTAGAGACAGTATTAGTACAGCGATTGGACGATGATCTCTAACTACTGTCAAAAACCGCAAACTACATTTCTAAGGCCATATTACAAGGCCCTTAGGGCTCGCAAAGACCTTCCTTCGGAAAACAGTACCAGGAAAAAGAAAAGGCAGACAGAGAAAGCGAGAAGACAACATAAAAGAATAGACGAGCCTGTTATTGAAAGAGGTGCTTTTCAAGACAAATACAGAGAAGAATGGAGAAAGTTGGTCGACAAATCTTGTGTAGTGCCCCAACGGTCCATCAGACTAAAGGATAGGTGAAGGTGAAGAAAAAGGTACCGAAAATATTTCAACGCAACTACTGGCATTTCAATAATTTTACAATAGAAACAAAGCGTGTAAAATACTCTTTAAATCCCATGATTCCCCTTGTGTGGTTTCGCCATACTCAAGCATTGTGGGTCGGCAGTAAAGACAATTTGTTCCAACATTTTATTTCAACTAATTACAGCGCCAGCTTAATAATTTAGCAGTTGACGTTATTTGGAGAGTTGTTCTATCAAATTTATTTTTATTTAAATGCATTTTATACACTATTTTCTACCATATTCTTTATCTTATCTTCTTATCTTGTATAATACATACGTTACTTCAAAAAAAGAAGATGACTGTGTCCTACATTTAGGCATGCATATTAACCAATGACTTTAATTCTGCCAAGTCACTGGTTTTCCTGGCTAGCATAGGCAACCTAAACCATGCTCTAATAGCACTAGGGAAGAGGAGCATTTGTACAAATTTGTCCTAGCATATAATTATATTTTCTAAAGTATCCTTTTTTCATTTAAAATAGCATAGCCGTTCTGATAAGGCTGTAAATGTGGAGTTATTTCACGAAATAGTTAATCAATTAGTTATAATTAATTTAATTTTCTTTGATGTAGAAAAGGAGAGCTTATCCCTCAGTATTGATATATTTGGCAGTAATTATTTTTGTTCCTTCCCTTAGATGAGCTTTTTTTTATTGAAGTTTTTATTTTCTTGTTTTTTTCTTCTTTTTTGCTGTTCGATAGTTCAAGATCAGAAAGTTGGTAAGATAATGAGAGAGAGAGAGAGAGAGAGAGAGAGAGAGAGAGAGAGTTAGTAAGTTAAAGAGAATTAGTCAAAGTCACTCAGTTGCGGACAGTCAGTAGAATTAAATGAAGTTAAAGTGATTGGAGGATCAACGAGAATATTTCACAAGATACAATTAAATGAGGCGATAAAGGGCAAATTTTAAGCCAACAAATGAAGCTGTCACTACATGTATTTTCTGTTGGCTGACATTGGCATAGACGACGAATGTGTAAAGTGGATGATAGGAAAGTGAATGATAAACGTTATGCAGGAAATATTTCTTAAATAGAAGAAGTGGTCGTCAGCCTTTCTCCTAGTACAATTAAAAGACGACTGAAAAATTGAAGAGTTCAATTCTTCAGTCATAGTCATAATGAAACCAGTACATTTCCAAATATTTTCTATTGCCGTTAAGTACAACCACTTAGTTGAAATCGCCCAACTCATGGAGGGGTAAAAATATTTGCCTAAGGAAGAAATGACGAAGTCAAATACCTTTTTCACTTTCAGACGAGAAGCACGACGTCATAATGTCTATTGCTTATAGGGCTACTATGTAAACTGCCAACAAGTCAATATGCTAACATTCTTCACAGTAGAAAACAAATTAGCATAGTAGGTTAAAAAAAAACATATATAGCAAAGCCAAAATAACATTTTTTTTTTATAACTTTACATGTAGATCAAGAGCAAAGACAAGTACAAAAGCAAATATTTCTTTTTTGCATACCACATATGAGAGTAGACACATAATAAAACATCTTTTTCTTTTGCACTTTTTCAGCCAACAAAAGCCCTATTCTACCAATCACGGTAGCCTACTTATCACGTGGGGGTGTATAAGCCGCTTCTTTACATTTCGATAACGAACGGTAATTATTCCAAGAGAACTAAATATAGCCAAGAGAGTTAATACGTTTCATCCTTGTAGTGAATACATGTGTGTGTGTGTTTAATCTTTTTTTTTTTTTGCTTTGATAATTACTTTGTTTTTTGTTTTTTTTTAATCATAAAAAAGGAATTCTAATATTTCATCTTTTTTCCTGGTACTGTTACCTGAAGGAAGATCTTTGCGAGCCCCGAAGACCTTGTAATCTGCCCATAGAGATTTGGTTATCGTTCGATTTTTTTGTGTTTTTTTTTACAATAGTCAGCAGTTTAACCAATCGTTGTAGTAACTCTGTTACACTAAGTTACAGACAGAAAAAGCGATCGGAAGACAACATAAAAGAATGGACGGGCCTGCCATTAAAAGAGGTTCTGTGTTTAATCCGAGGCAAAAGACAGTAATAGAGAAAGACGTTTGACGAATCTTGCATGGTGCCCCAACGGTCCAACAGACTAAGGGATAGGTGAAGAAGAATATTTCTTCCCCTAGACAAAATTTCCCGCCATTTATTAGACTTAGAACGAGACCAGTCGTTAGAGTAGGGCTCAACAAAGACCTGCAACGTGGCAACGAGCTATTGGTCTTTACTGCCTACTAATTGTGACGTTGCAGGTCCGCGTTCAGGGCTTCTATGGCGATCGGTCTCACTTGAAGTCATATAAAATACCAATCTGTATTTAACATCCAGTACTCAAAACATTTGTGTAATAAGGTGTAATAGGTTTTGAATAAATTTAGGCTAAACAAAAAATAGATGATCGGTGAATGCATACTAAGTGTTGATGAAAGATTTATGATGTCGGCAAAGAAGCGTTATAACCAAACAATAAAAAGTCCGTGTTGTATTTCTCAAGGATTTTAGCCATCAAAGGTTTTGGCAAGGCGTCGTAGTCTCTTTTCAACATCTTGAGCTGTTGAGCCCGGCCATTGGCTGAGCTGAGCGGGAATTTCCGGAACTGAGATTTGAGTTCCAGAATGATTGTCGTCTGGTTGTAATCGCGGAGCGTTTCCGGCAAGACGGCATGTGACGAAAGGTAGCCCACTTTCTTGAAGACTTCCCATAACCTGTAAAAAAAAAAGGGTTTGAGAAAAAGGGGAAAAAAGAATAAAAACGAGGTATAAATAAACGTTTTCAAAGTCAGTATATAATGTGATGAAAGTGAGGTGGCTGAGCGGTAAAGCGCTTTACCTCCGAACCGAGGTGTCCCGAGATCGAATCCTGGTAAAAACTGGATTTGTAATGTCGAGATGTTTAGGCGCCTCTGAGTACACCCAGCTCTAATGGGTAGCTGATATTAATTATGGAATAGAAAAGGCGCTTGGTCGTTGTGCTGGTCACATGACACCATCGTTAACCTTGGGCCACAGAAACAAACGACCTTTACATCATCTGCCCCGTATATCGCAAGATCTGAAAGGGTACTTTACTACTTTTTATATAATTTGGTATTATTAGTTTTTACTTTTTAATAGAGTAGAAACAAGCCGTTTATCAGACCACAATGTTAGCATAAGTGATCATAGCAGTCGTGCACGCAGAAATAACAGGAAACAAAGAAAGCTTCTGTTTTTATACAAACTCATTATTGAGCCATGTGAGTGTTTTCTTTGGTAAAAAAAATAATTGCCAAATGAGCATTTTTAGTTACATTTGAGCACGACTACAGTGTATCTTATCTTGTCTTATATGATACAGACGTTACTTAAAAAAGAAGATGATTACATCCAACGCGTCATGCCTAATAAGATATCGTCTTCCAGATAAGAATATGTCGCGAGTGACTTATGACAGTAGTAGATGTTAATGTAAAGACCTGGGCGTAGCTTAAGGTAAAGAAGTGGTAATACGAAACATTTATTTGTAAATTTAAAAAAATATGAACTAAAAACTTTCAATAATAAAACTCCACCACCATTCCACCATACAAAATGTAGGCTACATTTAGGACACTATTGACTGCGATAATTTTCAATTCACTTAGGAGAAGGTAACATTATTTACTTTGTACCTTTTCACCTCTCTTCGGTCACTTGTTCATTGTTTTCTGAAAAGTTGGCTAAACAGAAAAGGTTTGTAACCAGTTGTTAACTATTCTTCTGCCTTCCATAGATTCTCAACCGGTGTGAAAGCACAATTCATTGATGCTATCTCTCTCTTGAGAGACTAAAACAAACTGTGGATCATCATGGCGTCTGTTTGAATTAACTCTTGCAATGCGACGTTACTTATAATATTAATCTTTTTATTGCTCTCCCTTTTTTTAATTTTCCGGATGTGAGAATGTTTTTTATTTTGTTTTATAAATTGGATTAGGATTTTGATTATTTTAAAAGATTAAATGTTGAACTAACGAAACGAAACAAAAATTATCTTAAGGTTTAGAAAGTCACAGTTTCTGGGACTTACTTTGTACCCAGTTCCTTCTGAGACAAACATTTATGATAGAAGCTGTACCAGTTAATGCTGTGGATCTGGTAGTTGTAGATGATGGTGTCAAGCATCTGATTCTCCTCGCGGGAGATTTTTTCCTGCTCGGACACAATCCAGTCTAACTTGGACTGAAACACAAAAACGTCGAGCAGAATAGAAACATTAGAACACAACAAAAAGTGAAAATAATAGAGTGTGAACCATTTTTTTTCTTTCCTAAACAAATATATTTGGCTTAAAAAACTTTCGAGACTAATAAAAGGAAAATGTATTGTCAATGCAGTAGAAATTTCATTAGAATTTACCGTGTATAGTGGTTTTCATCCAAGGAGGAATTTCGATAAATAGCAAACATTTTGGTGCATCTGATTTAAATAACAAGAAATAGCAAAGCATTTTTTTTTAACAAAGCTTATATCAACTCACTCCGTCTGTCTGTCTGGTAAAAAGTGTATACACATACCCAACTTTGGATCAAGTTGAAACTTCGCACTATTATACATTGATAGACAAGACATAAAATAAAAAAAATAATAATAAAAAAAGTAACCAATTAGACAATTATTTACTACCTACACGTTGTCCCGGTTGATACACCAAGGGAAAGTAATCCTTTAGTATTGACAGATATGGCTAAATTTGTTGGGTTTAGCCCACATTAATAATTGTTAACGCTATTTCTCTTTCACGCATTCTCTGATCAAGTTGATACACTAAACAATTATGTATTGGACCTAACAAACATGAATCAATTTTAAAAAATACTCAATTAGTCAATTAATTATTGGTAATTAATTATTTTGTTTGATATCTAATAAGGGGAATGGCTTGTACATTATTGATAGATATAGTTTAAAAGGCAGAGTTTTTCCCCTTAATATAAACTTTTTTTTTTTAAAAGATTTTTTTTTTATTTTGCTTGTACTGTACTTTTTTTTTCCAATTTGTAAGTTTTGTAGAATCAAATTTCTTTTTTTTTTTTTTTTTTTTTTTGCAGCACACTGTAGAATATGTTTTTTTAGTTGGCAACAGTTATTTGAAGTATGGCTGGTTTGGCTTTGTTTACTCTTGTGTATTTCTATCCAATTCTGTTACCTTCTTCCATTTGATCTTTTCTTACGTTCACCTTACATTATATCGACATTTCTTCACATAGCTTTTTCTTCTTTTTCTCTCTTACTGAAAAAACAAAAAACAAAAACGAAACTCTAACGAACTGAACGTGCACTGAGTATTAAATGAAAGCTCTTTACCTGCCTGAGTATCAGGTGGGTGTCGTCCCTGATAGTCTCCACGTGCCCAATGATGTTGGGTTGAAAAATGCAAGGGTTGCACAGCTCAGTGACAGGCGCCCAGTGCTCATTGTACAGAGGAAGACTGTACTCCACAAACTCCCTGTTGGTGTAAAATGTAGGCTAGTGCTATTCAAGATGCATCAGAATCAATAAAAATTATGGATTTTACCACACAGGCTGGTTGTAAAGTGTTTTGTTTTATTTGTACATGTAACACTTTTGCTCGTTACTTCCCTTTTCAGACTGATGTAAAAATGGCCAACTGTTAACGACGGTGTCTTGTGGTCAGCACAATGATATATTATCTTTGATTATCATGACCAGTGCCAGGTACTAGTTACATTTGGATGAACTTCACCTTCACCTAACCCTTGGTCAATTTAACTATTGGGGCACCACACATGATCTGTCGATGGCTGGACTTAAGGACGTTCTAATAAATCCTAGGGAATTACGCTCATAACCACCCCCGTTTCGAAAACCGAGTTATCACGTCCCTGTTTTCGGATTCAGATTGATAACTTTTATTATCATGTGTTTAAATTGCTATTTAAACTCCTTATTTTTTTATTTCAAATATATTTGATTACTAAGGAATAAATAATTTGTAAATATTTTGTTTTAATAAAAGCTAGACTTTACACTGACTGACCTGAAAGTTATAGATTTTGGACACTTTATTTCTGCACCGGAAGTTTTCATAGATATCCCAGCGCTGGTCCAGAAGTCAATCAGAAAGAACTTTTCCAGGTAACAGCTCCAGAGTCTCTCCAACGGGTGTCTCACGAAAAGAACACGCGTGGTCTTCAAGATGTCAGCCTGGTCCTCCTCCGACCTGAAGCTCTTTCTGGGCAGGTTGAGGTGACTTGTATACCGGATGTCGTACTTTGAGATCTGGAACGGTGACCGTATGCCCAGTTGCGCTATTTCGTGTGACACCTTGTTCAAGAATGAAAACATTTGCTCCCAGTATGTACAAGCCGCCTTGGGTACCTTGCAGTAAGATAAGTTGTACTGGGGCAGATAGTATATGTCCGAGTCTACTTTGTTTGGAACTTTGAGGAAGTCACACATGATTTTCGTGTGGTTAAGACGCCTTGCTACCTCCTCGCTGACTTTAACGAGGTCAGGCAATGGCTTGGATGGTCCTGATTGTTGCACGTGACCAATAGGGGCCCTGGAAGTTGGTTTTGCTATAATGTTATTTGACACAATAGGCTGAGAGGCAGGGACTGCTGGTGGACCTTGAACAGACACTGCCGCAGATCGGTTCACAAGTCCAGGGGGCCCAAGTTTGGATATATTTGCAGCTACCTCAGGTAAAGACCGGACGACTTTGTTTATTACAGCAGCGGCATGCGCAGACTCCGCATTGACAGGATCTTC